TGGGTTTTTTTTTGTTGTTGTTTTCCTTAAATCTTTCAGGCTTTCCTCAGCTGGATCCCATGTGAGCGAGTGTGGAGGGTTGGAAGCCCAAACAGATACAGATGTTCAGCTCTTTGTCCCTGCTGGTGCTGGCTCACCACATTGGCCCAGCATGGCCCAGTCCAACCTCCCTCTGTGCAAACACAGCAGTTCCAGTTACTTGCCAAGGGCTCTCCTGGGGATCCATAAAGTCTATTTCTGTTTATATAATGAAACCAGGGAGCAAGGGTCTGCTCTAGTACTTTGCTGATGGGATTCCAGTGGGGTTGTCTTTCAGTGAAAAGACTGAATTTAATAAACCTGTAGTCTGGTGTGCTCTTTCTTGGGCCACGCTGCCTCATTCTAATGGATTGCTGTTGATAATTTGGGGTTATTTTGTTTACGTAGTCTGAGAGCTTCTTTTCAAGCAGTGGTTGGAAATGGAGATGAAGGCAGTCTTAATTCACTTTTAATAAAAGATCAATGGGTTTATTGTGAAAAAATAGAATACAGATGTAAACTATACCTGATAAAAGAATTAAATGTGTATTTAACCTTCCTGTTTTGTTTTTTCAGTGCTACTGGTGCTTGACCTTCTTCGATTTTGAGACTATTCTTTTTCTTGGTAGTTTTACCTTTTAAAATTTACTTAGACTGCAAAAACAAACTCTGCTGGTGTTTTTCATCTCAAGTGCTTACCAAATCCCTCAGATTTTACAAAATATTTAAAAAGTAATCTCCAGACTAAAGGCTCATTAAAACCTTTGCCCTTCCTGTGGAACAAAAGTTCAGAGAAGTTCTGTTCAATTCTAGTTTGGAAACTGTAAAAGCAAAAATACCATGGTGTGAGGTATTAATTTAGGCTTGGCAGCCCCACTGTAAAATTTATTTCCAGAAGCTTCCAATTAAAATGCAGCATGTCTAAAAGTATAAGGGAAGGCACTGTAAATGCTCTTTCTTTTATAGTATATAGGAGGAAAACTGCCCCAAACATTAGTGAAAATAAAACATCTTGGAGATATTTTTTTTGATTAAACAGTCCCATTTATATTGCAATGAGTTTACTTGGTAGAAGAAACCAGGTACTTAGGAATTTCTTAGCTGTACTGATTTTCAGTATTACTTTTTAATCAAGCCTTTTGATAGATCAATCAGGTATTTATAAAGATGCTATTTTTTTTTTCTTCTGGTTTTCTTTATATCTTTATTCGACCTTGTGCTCTCCCCCTTCTTGAACGATGCAGTTTGGATGTTTTCCTCCTGTGGCCCTTTCCCCCTGTTTCAAAGGAGAGAGCAAAATTGGAAAGAGGACAGATTGACTAGGATAGTTAAAGGTGTAGAATACCTTATGTAGGAGTAACAGAAGGTAAATTCAGCAAAGAATTTAGGTCTCTTCAGACTGATGGAGGTACCACATTTGTCTGTAAAATCACGAGTGGCACAGTGATAAGGCAACAGTCAGTCACTGGATTTCTGTTGTGGAGGTGGGGAATGGTCATCAAATAGAGCTAGAGCTTGCAGATAGAGTTAAATCCAAGCAGCTGAATGGCAAAATGCATTCTTGCTGAAGTTGTCTGGTTGTAGAAGGATCTGTCCTGCAAATTGTTGGAGGTCAAGAGAGTAACACTATATGCTTATGCTGTTCTTTTAGTCTTCACTGAGTATTTTCTGTTGATGGCTGTCAGAGATGGGATTTTTGACTATACCATGGACATCTGGTATGACCTGTGGTGTCAGTTACAACAGGTCAAAACCTGTTAATATTCTGTCTCAAGAAAGTTGTTTCTGGATGTCTATGAAAAATTTTAAATGACATCAAAAAAGAAATTTTAGACGAGTGTTGTGGGTTTTTTTATTCCAAAACCATTTCAAAGTAGCACGTTTTATGTCTTGTTGGATATATCTCGACAAAATGTAGATAGAGAAAAATATGTGCAGTTGCTGTGTATTGACAGAGTGCATTTCATCAGCAGGTGGTATTGGATTTAAGAAGCTGAAACCTAAGACAAGTGCTTAGGGACAGTCTGTAAGAGGATACTTTTTGTTCAAAGTCATGTAGTTCTGTATTCCCAAAGTGGTCTGGGCAGCATGAACGGTGCTACTGTGCAAGAGCTTTTAAATTATGAAATACAAGAAAGCAAAATGTTTTCAGTTGTGGAATTTTACTGTAGGCAGAATTACTTCTGAAACGTGTGCTAATTTAATCTGAAGCCAAAGAGAAGTGATTTTCAGAAATGGTTTTGCAAATCTGATGAAGTTGTTGTACTGTGATAAATAGCTCTGCAGCAGTTCCCTTCCAGACATCCCCTTTCCATTTTGGGTTTATGTTGGGTGTATACTGCCAATCAGGAGGTATATAAATAGTAAACTTAGAGGCAATTTTTTTAGAGGATGTAATCATTTTAGAGTGAATCATGAAATTTGTCTATTTTTCTTGAGGTATAGGTGCTCCTGTAAATGAGGCAGAATCTGGCTGTGTTCTTGGGTTCAGATTTTTTCCACAGTGCAGGAATAAGGGGAGAGGAGAAAAACACAAAAGTGAGGTGGTTTCTAGTTGTTTATTTTCATACTGAGGTTTATAAACATTTTTAAGGAAGTAAGTAAATTGAGAGTAAGTGTTTTAAGGGGGAGAGGGGGAAGAGGTAAAGGCCCTTAGAAATTATTGCAGTGGATTTAACAAGTTTTGTGGCTTCCCTTTTTAATTCTATCAATATAGACAGAGTGCCAATGCTGTTCGTTGGGAAGCTCACCTCGGTACGTCTCTGTGTTCCCACTCCTCCACAGAGTGAGTCATGGGATGTGGGTTTAACCAGTGGTGTAAATAAAATGCCTTTATGGGATAAATTGCTTCTCGTATGTTTGGAAATACTTTTAGAAAGGGAGGATATTGAGGGCCATCAATGGCTTGTTTAATTTTTACCTCTAATTACGTTGTGTGTCACTGGTCAGCGATGTGTCACCACCTCAGCCTCGCATATCGTCAGGGAAGTTTATTAACAGGACTGAATTTTAGGGGAAGAAAACATCTAAAAGAAATCATCTCAGAACAGCCATGAGCATACCCATGCTACTAGGAAACACTAAATTTCCACGTTGTGTTTTCTGTGCTTAAGCAACAGCTCTGAAAGGTGGTTATTTGGCTATTTCTGCCTTCTTGGCCAGATGAGAAAATGTCTTTAAATCAACAAGTTCTTATGTTCTTCTTCTTTTTTCTTTTTTTTAAATCTGACTGAAGACGCTTTTTTTTCACCCCCCCCAAGTCCTTAAATTTTTTTTTTCTCAGTAATAGTAACTAGAAGTGTTCTTCAAGCATTACTGTCATATACCTTTCAACTATTTCTGTTTAGGCAGCATAACATTTCAAAGCAGTTTATTTAATAATGTCATTTCCATTCTCTGGCTTTAGAGGATTTTCTAAAGGCCTTGAGGTTTAAGCTTCTTCATGGAATTGGAGGAGTATTGTTTTCACTTAATATAGAAATTTGCATTTAATTAAAACAAAACCCCAAAACCAACAGTGGTAGTTACAAGTCAATCTGGAATGTTTTTCAAATAGGAAAATCGGAGTCAGGCTCATTTTGGAAAGATACATCAGCTATTTGACAAGGTTCAGCATGAAGCTTGGTTGTGGTTTGTTTTTTTTTTTTTTCATGTGGACAGTTATATCTTTTTAATCAGATTTTTTTTCCTTCACGTTGATGGAAAACACATAATTGAAGTTAATTTTACTGTAAATATTGTGAAGAGTCAAAGAGAATAAAGACTTGGCTGCTTAAGGGGTCTGAAAGAATAGCTGAGCTTGTGAATGCAATTTTTTAAAATACATCATTATCACCAGCCTGTAGACACATCTATGTCCCTTCCAAACACTGGTGAGCTTCATTCAAGGCCACTTGCCTTTCTTCATGGTGGATATTGGGGAAAAAACCTAACAAACTTCATATCCAGACAATAATCTTCCTTACCTATTTAAAATAACTGATGTGGAGGACTATTAATTGCATCAACTGCAGTGTGACTTCTTATAACACCCAGTCTTTGAACTGTTGCCTCAAGACCTGTGTAACTGAGATCCTTAAACTTTTTCAATTTACTGTAGTTCTGTTTTTCAAGCTGCTACGTGTAATGAATTTTCAGTTTAAAAATGAATTTGATTTTGCCACCATATGGCTCTGAATGTTGAGAGGGTATGAATGAAATGAATAATGGTTCACAGATAGATTTTTGACTTAAGTTACAGGCCGATGAATAATCTTACTTTAAATCAAATGAAGATCTGATTAGAGGAGGTTGTTATTGGTGAGGTGGTGATTTTCTGTGTAGCTGAAGGGAAAATAATGATGGCTGTTTAGTTTCTGGGAATGTCTGCAAAGAATATCTTTTTAATAAATCAATAAAAAATGGTAGAATTTCATTACTTTTAAGCTATTCCAGGAAAAACTCCATGAATTACGAAGAAAATGTTGCTATTTAAGTTGCAGTGAACAAAATGCTTCATCACTAACGCTCTAAAAATAGCATCCTGCTTAACTGTTAAGTGGGTTTTTTTCTGTTAGCTTTTTTTTCATCTCTAGTATTTGCTAGAATTACCAACACTTGAGACAAGCTGATTTTGGAGGTGCTGAGTTTTTTAGTGTCAGCACCAGCTCAGCAGAACTCCAGAGTATAACTTCAATACAGAGTTTCAGTAAGCAAAGCCGAAACTTTTCTAGTTCATCTTGGATACTGTAAAAATGTGTTACATTAATTTTACATTTTCTTCAAGTGCCAAGGTTCAGTTTGTACTCCTGCAATGGTGCTGAAATCACTATGAAATAAGGCTGTGATTTCAGTAAAGCTGTTTCTGACTCACTCGGTGTAGAATAGATCAAAACTTTTCCTTGGTGATAGGAAAATCTGTGAAGTTGTAGCCAGATTTTTCTTGTGCAACTGATATGACTATTCTTTTTTCTTTTATTTTATTTTCTCTTTTTTCTTTCTAGGGTCAGTACAGGCCCTCTGACCTGCTGTGTCCAGAGACATACATCTGGACGCCTATTGAGCAATGTCTGCCCCTGCTTGAGCACTCCAAATACTGTCGATTCAACCAGGATGTCAAAGCAGGTAAGTTTACAAGTAGTGATAGTAAGAAATAAAATAGTGAGAGGTGATAGTAATAAATTGTCTTGTCTTGGTTGCATAGTGTATTGCTGTCATCTGCTGCTGAGGCATTATGGAAATGTTATCTGTAAAGGATAAAAAAATGTAAAATTCACAACTTCTTCCAGCAAAAATCAGCAAACAGAGTTTTATCTTCTCCTATAAAATAAGCAATAGAAATTTTAAGTACATGCTGTTTTATGGATTATATGTAGTTCAAAATTAACACATATTCCTGCTCTTTAGATAATTACGTTTGTCATTCTGTCCGTGAACAAAACCAATTAAATAATTATTCTTTCCTTACATTCCAGTTGGGTGAATGCATAAAGTAAGGTAATTAGGATCAATACAGGAAAGTCAAAGGGCTGGAGAAGCTTAAAGGCATCAGGTGCTTTTGTTAAGAAACAAACTGCCAGATTTAGTTTAACAATCTGCCAGTGTATTTGAAGAACACAATGAACAGCAGAAGTACCTGAAACATCTTGAAGTAGGTGGGACTTAAGTGTTTACATTCTGTAAAAGAGGTACTTAGTGATTTGCCAGCACTGAATGGTTGAAAATATTACTTACCAGAACATAATTCATTAGTGAATACTGTAAGAAATGTAATCAAATGAAAAAAAAAAAAAAAGCAAAACAACCACATACCTTAATTATTGACTCTGTGAGTGGACTCCAGACCCCAGGGGAGCTGTATGAGAGAACACTTGGTGTGGTGCCTGGGTAGAAAGCAAAAAAAAAAAAGAAAAACATTGTACTTAGCAATTTTCAATTAATAGAAAATCTTCTTGAAATTTTCTTTCCCCATTGAATAACAGCTGGAAAAGGTTGTGGTATTATTCAGAGATGTCAGTGATTAAACTCAAGAGTATGTAAAACCATGGTCTGTTTTGAGCCATCAAAACATATATTTACCTGTCTTTGAGTTTGAGTAGTCTTCAACAGCTGCTTCTTTCTTTTTAGTTTGCATGGCTGTAATTTAATACACTTTTCATTCACTAGCTGGGTAGCTTTTGGAAGGGCAGGATGTAGATGAGTGAAATGAGTTTGAAGAAAGACAACCACTTAAGCAGGGTTGTGAACTTGCTTTTCCTTATCCTCGTTACCATTTATGCTCAACTGGAACACTAGGATAGGAATTATAAGAACTACAATAATGAGGTTCAAATAAATTTCTAGGTATAGAGTTAAAAATTTAAGTATCACAGTTACTTTAAGTGTTCCTTGCAAATAAAGAATGTTCTTTAGGGATCATGCAGGTAGCTGTGTGATGCGCTGGGAGGTAGAGTGGGGAGTGTGCTTGGATGTTCTTTGAAAAGAGTATTTATTACCATGGGAGAAGCTCAGTGTGTAAAAGATTAAATGGGCAGCACATCATGTCTTGATCAACTAGAATCATCATTAGATTGCTGAGGGGAAACTGGAGAAAAAGTACCAAGGTAGGAGGAAGGGAAATAGTGTTGGAGACGAGTAGTGTGCAAGTTACTCTTGTCATTCAAAACCAAAAGAGTGAATTTACTTAAGTGCAAAGATTACAACTAAACTACTACCTTTGAGGGCATTAACCCTGTACAAGCCAAGGGACATCATCTTCTTAATTCTGTGAAAACCCTGTGTCATACCATGCGTTTGGAAACTGCAGGATATAAATCTGTGTCATTATGAGCATGGCGTCTCTCACTCCAGACACTACTGGAACTGTGACTTAGCTCCTGTGCTTTAAGGGAATTAAAACATAGCTCCATGTGGAAATGCACTGGACCTGCTGTGAGCTAATAGTCATTTGAGGGTTAAGTAGCTAGCTCTAAGGAGCTATTTCTCAAGAGTAAAATCAGTTTCCTTCTTACTCCTTTTCTCTACAACAGTCGGTAATATGAGTTTGCTGAAGTTACAGTGAATTTAAAGAGCAATAGGAATGATTGTGTGCTTTGTTTCTCTTGAATCAGCTTTCTCTAATACTGCCCATAATTATGTCACTTCAGTAGATCATGATTTATCAGGAGTGGGACTTCAAACATAGAAACTGAGGGCAATAACCAAACCTAGTGAACAACTGGGAAGAGTAGTGTGGCTTGCATTGCTGCCTGGGGCAATAATACTGTCCCTGGAAATGCTCATGTTTTAATGCTGTCTATCATGTCAGAAAAATTCTGAAACATTACTTCACACTAGTATGTTCGTCGTGTTTGACAATTTGTGAACTTCTTTTTCTTCCCTTTAAAAAACTACAAAATTTGACTAATAAATTGACCAGTTACAGGTTATGAAAATGCATTATAGAGCAGCAGCAAGAGCTGCTTCAGGAGAGGGTGCTGCATGCCCTGACCTTCCAGGTCTTTGCAATATGTAAAGAATTTCTGAGTATTCATACACATCACACTTCCAAGCTCCTTCCTACAATGAGATTTCTTTTTTTTTTTTTTAGAAAAGACAAATGTTCACACAAAGTGGCAATCTTTTTTTAAAGTATCAGAAAATATTAATTGATATTTGCAGAGGATTTTTTGCCTGTTTTATATTATGTGGTTGTCCCGAGCTTGAGCGTTTTCAGATGATTTTCAAACATATTGGTTTCCATCCCCTTCTCCTCTGATGTCTGATACTTTTGTTAATAGTTGGAGAATGAAGAGAGGACAAACTGAACAAACTTCTTAACTCTTTATACCACAGAGATAAGTCTAAAAAAGAGTCTAGCAGTTAATAACTTCAAAAAACAGTCAAAGGGATCATAATAACTTTTATTGTTTAGGATGGCAAATCATGGGCTCCTGATGGTTGAAACAGGTTCAACTCCTTACTGCTTCAGGCTGGAGTAATGAGATCCAACCTCACTTAACCTCAAAAGACTCCAAAGACTCCAGTCATACAGAGACAGCGACGAGCTCTTGTGCCAGCAAACACTCAAATCTGAGACCTGAGTAAGCTGCTAGTGGGCTCTTGGTGTGCATCTAAAAAAAAGTCTAGCAGTTAATAACTTCAAAAACCAGTCAAAGGAATCATAACTTTTATTGTTTAGGATGGCAAATCATGGGCTCCTGATGGTTGAAACAGGTTCAACTCCTTACTGCTTCAGGCTGGAGTAATGAGATCCAACCTCACTTAACCTCAAAAGACTCCAAAGACTCCAGTCATACAGAGACAGCGACGAGCTCTTGTGCCAGCAAACACTCAAATCTGAGACCTGAGTAAGCTGCTAGTGGGCTCTTGGTGTGCAGTTCCAAACATACATTGGAAAACATCAGTTATTTCAGAAAAAAAAGAAAAATTCATGGTAATATCAGCCAGCATTCATGGATGAAAGGTCATGTGTGTCAAGTTTTCTTGCTTTTATGTATTACCAATTTTTGCCTCAGTTACTCCTGCCTCAGAACAGATTCTTCATTTTTGTCACGTGTTCAATTAGAAAAATTCAGATGATTTGGCATCATGTTATAAATGAGTGAGTTTTATTAGGGTTCTGATGTGTTCCTTATAAAGTGGTGGCCAGTCACTTACTTAGAAATAAGCTCTTAGTGAGGCAGGACAATAATTGAGGCTTTGGATACTGATGCATCCTGAAAATTGAGGTAGTGCTAATCTTTTAACAGGCCATTAGCTTTAAGTACAGATGGAGTTGTGTTAAGTAAAAAAGAAGTTAATTAAAAGATTGCTCTGCAGATAAGTGCTTGTCAGTGACTCTGACAACAGATCAGAACTGAGCAAAATTCAGTCATGTGATTGTGTCTGCTGAAAGATTCTTGGCCACAGTCAGTCTGTCATACTGGTTAACTTCCCTCTCAAAACTGGGCTTTATTTCTGTGGTACTTTCAATAACAGCTTTACCCATGGAACAGATGAAGTATGAAAAGAATTATAAATAATTTACTTGGTATCCTGGCAGTATTTTTCTCCTTGCAGTTTCCATTTTTCTGAGACTAACCCAATGACATGTCTTTTTTTTTTTTTTTTGTCTAACATCTGTTGAGAATTTTAGTTTGTTGCGCCTGAGAGAAGCCTGTGAAAAAATGTCTTCGTGAAGTAAAATTTTTATGAAAATCTACTTTTGGGATGGTTATTAAATTAATGGGAAACTTCAAATCTTTCATCCTATTAACACTGGACTGTCAACACCTTTAAGGTACAACTTCAGATAACCATAGAATCATTAAGGTTGGAAAAGACCTCTAAGATCTAAGGGCAGATACAATCCCAGTCTGAAGTGGTAGCTTCAAAACCTTCCTCCTGACTGTGTCACATCCTGTGGGGTGTATGTTGTGCCAGTCAGGATGAACAGGGGGGGTGTTACCCAAGTGAAAAAGCTCTGCCCAGTCCAAATTACTAGGCACAGCCTATGGCAATCTTGGTGGTGGGAGCTTCTTCCCACCTTCCTCTGCCTGCTGCTTTGAGCAGAAGCTTTTAGTGTAGATCAAACAGGACTTTAATGCCTTTTTTTTTTCCTTGACTGGTTTGTTTGCTGAAATTGATAAATTGCTTAGGCTGGTGCACATCTGTTGAGCTTCCTGTATATCTAATAATAGAGTGATATCAAAATGGAATCGAATGGAATGCATTAATTAAAATAAAGTACTTTCTCCAGTGTTGAAAACCACAGATAACAAAGGCATACTCCTCTGTATTGGCTTTGTGTGTTCTTGGAGACAAAACACTGCTCTAGAGAGTATAGTCTAACACAAACCACGATGGATACAACAGGATGCTATAAAAAAATAGAGATCTACTTCTGTTTTTTCTGGTCAATTACAGTAACAAACTAAATTAGAGTCTAATAATAGACTAAATAGTAGTAGACTAAACTAACTAAACTGTATGGTAGGTCACGGAGAGGGAGAGTTTTGAAAAGAGACCTAAGGAAGTGCATGAGTTTTGTGTTAGAGTTTATGGAGAAGTCTCTAGGCAGCATGAGAGGTGTAGGAGATATGAAGAGTATCTGGAGACACAAAGGAGTTTCCTTCAAAAACAGA